ATTTTTTGATGTAGCTTTGTCTGAGGCTGCTTCATATCTTTCTGAAGAATCAACACAAAATATTCTTCATTTATATCAACAAAACACCTTGTATGCATGATTTTTACTAACACAACTTCAAGGTAAAGGTGCTAAGTTAGTTGTTTTGTTCGGAAAATTAAAATGTTTAGCAATTATTTTGATAATTTAGTTTTCAGTCTCAATTGCATCATATAGGTAAGCATCTAATTTTCTTCTAAAAAAGTAAAGACTTTTTTTCTATAAGTAATATATTCGTGTTCTCTCAAATTAGTTTCAAACCTTTTTGTTGTTATATTATTACCAGTTATTTCGTAAATTTGATTTCTCAATACCTACAAGCCTTATAATTTGAATACTGAGCCATTACATGTATGCTATATCGATTGTATCTAAATATACCGGACATATTAAATCTCTTGTTAAAATAAATAAGACTCTTTGTCATTCCCCATCTAATTTTAATTAGCGAACCTAATTAATGGACAACAAATTGAATAATTAATTGCGTACAGCCTCCTAACTATCTTGTCGACATATATCGAACTTCCAGGTCACAATCATACAAAGGTTAAAAATTACCAATAATGAGTTCGATTTGTTTCTTTGATGACCACTTAAATAACGCACATAGCGCATCTTTGGAATTAGCATGTAATTACGTAAATGGTTTTATAGATACAATATACTTTTCTTTAAAATAACATTAAATGGAAATAACAGAAAGCAAACATTCTAAACTAAATTCCCCACATACACATGTAAGACAAAGGTATTAAAACTTACTTTATGTATATTTCTTACAGACTTTATTTTGTCAATAACTGACAAAATTATCATATTTCAATGAAATTATAATACAAAGTTGTACATCTAAAACTACTACGGATAATCGAATGTCTATAATATTACGTTCATTATCTTCAGAAATATAAGTTATAGGCAAGTACCCTTTTCAGACCCTATAATATCTACAACTTTTAACGGTTCAAGATATTTATACTGATGACAGTAATGTCGCTAGAACAAGATATATTTAAAGATATTTATCTATAGCAACTAGAACATTTTGTCTCCAAATGATTTGTCTATGTATGGTAACTGCTTTTTGGTTGGCAAATGATTCAATTATATCCAACCGTATCATTATGTCAACTGTTTTACTGTACAATTATATAATAGTTTTTGACATCCTTGAATGTTGGAGAGAGATCCACTTTATGATAACGGTTAGTAACTAATGTTCTGGCCCGGCATGGCCAGGTGGTTAGGACGTTCGACTCGCAATCTGCGGGTCGCGGGTTCGCATCCCCATCCCACCAAACATGCTCGCCCTTTCAGCCGTGAGGGCGTTATAATGTGACGGTCAATCCCACTATTCGTTGATCAAAGAGTAGCCCAAGAGTTGGTGATGACTAGCTGTCTTCCCTCTAATCTTACACTGCTAAATTAGGGACGGCTAGCGCAGATAGCCCTCGTGTAGCTTTGCGCGAAATTCAAAAAACAAACAAACAAACCAATGTTCTTGCACAGAGAGTTTATTATTTGATCTTAAGGTGTTGTGTGTCTGTATTTACATGTGTTTAGGAGTTATGTGTAATGCTTAATTTTGCTCTTAATTATGTGAAAAATATTATATCGCATATCCACTCAATAATATTTTTTCTCATATATCACCGTCAACTGATTTGTTTTTCAATAACTATTCCATTAATTTATTTTTTGTAATAATTCTATGATTGTGTTTTCTTTAACAAGTAATTCCATTTTTAAAGCTCAAAACCTAAAGAAGATAAAAGCAGCCGTGGATAATTAGATTTACATTGATTTTTTTTAAAGCCTTTATGAATCACACAGCCGGTACTCATTGATTGTTTTGCTGCTCTCTCAAAATCTGAAATGATTGAGAGCCACTTCGCAATAGTTGAAGCACACTAACTCTTTATTTTATATGTTTAGCAACGCCTATAAGCAGTTCTATAGTTATTTTAGATTTAATATTACGCTATTAAGATCAACTAATAATAGGGTAACTTATCCAGCAATG